ATTCGGTGCCAGAATTCATTCTGCTAGTATGTTCTAAAAATCCAGTTAAAGTAGTCATATGCAGTATTGCCTCCAAGGTATCTGGCAGAAATGAAAGTAACTCTCCAAAGGAATAATCTTTAAATTCAGGCCTCAAAGAATTTCTGAGACAAAGTTCCTAGGAACTTCAGGCTCACCATAGGAACATGGCTCACAATAGAAAAAAAAAAAAAAAATATCTGGCAGAAATGAAAGTAACTCTCCAAAGGAATAATCTTTAAATTCAGGCCTCAAAGAATTTCTGAGACAAAGTTCCTAGGAACTTCAGGCTCACCATAGGAACATGGCCCAAAAAAAAAAAAAAAAAAAAAAAAATCACGTAAGACACAAGGAAACACACCATCATGAGCAACGATTGACTGCACCTATTAATATGAAAACATGTACTTATTAATATATATCTATTAATATTAATAGAAGAATGTTAATAGATTGGTGTATATTTATAGGTCTACAAAAACACTCAAACTCCTAAAGATTGCAGATTTTTAAATAACTAAAAATAATATAGTATATTGATTGTGTTTAAAGAAATAAAAGAGAGTACTGACAATGTGACTAGGGAGAAAGAAGCTATCAAAACTGATCACGCAGATTTGAAAAATAGAATTTTTTAAAATGAAAAACAAAATAAATTTGAAATTAAAAGGACAAATTAAACATCAGAATAAACACATATATAGGGAGAATGGTGAACCGAAAGATAAATCAGAAGAAATTACATGGAATCTAGCATAGAGAGGGAAAACATTATAAAAAGATCAAGACACATGAAGATAGAATGAGAATATCTATCATATCTCTAAGTAGAGTACTGTATCTACCAGACAGGGAGAATGGAGAGAACTAATGGCTGAACAATTTCCAAAATTAATGACAAAAATGAGTCTTCCGGTTCAGAAAACACAATGAAGTCAAAGAAAGTAAGCAAAAAGAAACTTAAAACCTCAAAATATTCAAGTAAAACTGCAGAACACCAAAGGCAAAGAGAAAACAATATAAGCATCCAGATATGAAAGAATTACCTGCAATCAAATTGAGTTGACTTCTTGACCCCCACCCAAAACTGTAGACTAAAAAAAAAAAATGCAGTGCCCATTTCATACCCATTAGGATAGCTATTTAAAAAAATAAAATACCAAGTGTTGGCAAGGAGAAATTAGCACCTTTGTGCATTGCTGGTAGGAATGAAAAAATGATGCAACTGCTGCAGGAAATGATATGGTGATTGATCAACAATTTTAAACATAGAATTACTGTATGATCCAGCAATCTCACTTCTGAGTATATACCCAAAAGAAGTGAAAGCAGAAACTTGAATAGATAATGGTGCACCCATGTTCATAGCAGCATTACTCACAATATCCAAAAGGTGAATGCATTGACAAAATATGGTATATACACACAGTGGAATATTATGTGGCCTTAAAAAAGAAGGAAATTCTGACACCTGTTACAATATGGATGAACCTTGGAGAGAAGTGAAATAAGCCCATTACAAAAGGACAAATATTGTATGATTCCACTTATATGAGGTACCTAGAGTGGTCAAATTAATAGGGACAGAAATAGAATGGTGGTTGACAGGAGCTGGGGCAAGTGGGGAGTGAGGGATTACTTTCTAATGCCTATAGAGTTTCAATTTGGGAAGATTTAAAAAGTTCTAGTGATGGGTGGTGGTGATGGTTGCAGAACAATGTGAATGTACTTAATGCCAGAGAACTGTACACTTAAAATAGGTTTAAAAGGTAAATGTTATATTATATATATTTTACCATAATAAAAAAAAGCTGCTGTGCCTCTACCCAGGAATAGTCTGCCACTCTTCCTGGGGTGTTAATATAAGAATCAGTCTTAATACTTTCAGAGAAGTCAACTCTGTCATCCCTTTCTAAAGCTGTTCTTACCACAGCACAGAGGTCAAAACAAAAATATTATCTAGGGGTGCCTTATGTTTGTATACCACTTTATATTTGAAGAAGGCTTTTATGTATCCAAACCCATTTAATCCCGTGACAGCCTTATAAGGTAAGTAGTATTACACCCCTCTAATTGATGGAAGACAGTGGAGCCTAAGAGATTAAGTTGTCCAAGACCACTGGGCTATTAAGGATGCAAAGGTTCAAGTCACTTATCTCCTGACTGAAGCCATTGATCTCCCAACATACAGAAATAGTTGTCAACTTACTATGAACTTTGCATTTAAAATGCCAAAAGCAAAGTGCTATGCTTGTTAAACTGAATAAAGAAAAGAAAAAGAAAGATAACATCATTACGTTCTCAGGAACCAAGGAGTAATGATTACACTGAGTTTACACTCTGAATCCTATTAACATATTTGTGGCTTTTTATAGTGCTCTTGTTCCAAGCCTTGGTCACAGTTTAAACTCCAGTTGGCTATTTGTATTTTTGCACTTTAGCTTCTGAAAATACCCTTTAATTTGGGGGTTGAGGGTCTTTCCCTTAAAACTCATTGTCTTAGGTTGCAGCTGTTCAAATTTTAATTGAAATTCTCAAAAATTTTTGTCTGATTCCAATAAAAACAAGTAGCCAGGTTGTTCTCTCATTGTTATGCAAGAACTGTTTCATTTTTGGTCTTAAATTTCCTTTTTTATTGCTCTCCTTGGAGTGGATGGCTAATGTAAATGGGAGAAACCTGGCAACGCACCATCACTACCCTTAGTAATTATAGGAGCTCCCCACTAGAACAAATGGCTGGGTCAGCGCAACCTCACGCACACAGCTGAGTTTGTCTCCCTTTGAAGACTGCCATAGATAAGTCAACTCAGAACCCCAACTCTCCTGCTTCCGAATGCTGACCCAGTAGCTTCCTCTGTCTCTTGGGAAGGTTGGGAACCTCATGGAAGAGGGGTGACCTTTTTGCCATCCCTTTCTGTGAACAAGCCTCCCTGAATGTATTAACTGACAACATAGATAACACTCCCTGAGGCAGTATGCAGTAGGTTTCTCACAGTGGTGGTATTCAGTAAAAGATTTGAGATTTTGCACTCCCGTGTGGTACCAGTAAAGTAGACACTGGCAGGTTAAACACTGAAGGTTCAAAGAGAGGGTCCCCTCTTTGCCCTTTCAAGTTGTTCCAGCTACTGTGAGGTGAAAACTGGACGATCTTCTTACCATTGCATTTACAGCACAGATTCTGAAGTCAGATCTCCCACTTCATATATATTAAAATGTTTGAGAACACGCCACTTTAAAGTGCTCACAGCATTCTCTCTCAGAAGAGAGACCCAAATTCTTTTACAGTATTTTGCTGTAAAATTCATAAGCCAGAGCGCAACAGGAAAATGAAGAACTTTAACAAAAGATTAACTCACACCTATCATTTGGACACCCCACCAGGAGAACTTTTCCCTTGCATATATCTGATATATTGCTTTTCTTCTCATAGCTTACATTTATTAAGCACCTCCTCTGTGCCAGAAACTGTGCTAAGCACTTCACACACATTATGTCGTTTAATCCAGACCACAGAACAGTGTGGTAGATGCTAACTTATTCTCATTCTACGTACATACACACAAAGTAAAGAGGTTGAGTGGACACAGAGCAAATAAGTGGCTTGTTCTGTGTAAAATAACTTCTTCTGTGTAAAGATGTACAAACCTATCTCAAAGAGATTGCTGCCTTTTATAACAACCCCAAAAAGAACTTCATAATCCCAATTTAAAGAATTTTCAGTCTCAGTCTTCCCAACCCCTGTCAGTAGCTTACAGATTTTAGTATTTTCTTCTTTCAGCAGGGGGGACCACCAACTTTCATATTATAATTTCATGCATTTCATATCTATTTTGTTTTCCCTCAACTTTTCTCTTCTGCATAATTTAAACAAAAAATAATAACAGGAAGTCTTGGTTAACATTCCTTCCAAGGTTGTATTCTCTAATGCCTCAGTCACTTTGCTTTCAATGTCAAACTTTATTCAATTTTCCATATTCTACTAAAGAGTGAAAGATATGAAGCACTTGTTATTTTTCATTGTGAAAATATAGCAAAAAAAATTCAATGGCAAACAAAAAAGGAAAGTATCTCCATGTTATGAATGAAGCAGACTTTTTTTTCAGACTTTTATTTTTAATGCCGCTTAAAAGCTGAAGAACATTATGAGGTCAAGCTTGTTTTGAGAAAGGTTTTTTTTTTAGGTATTTTATTCTGGCATTTATATAATTTCAACAAGATATTTTTGAAAAATCCATTTAACATAAAATTAAGAAGATGAACATCTACTTTGTTCTCAGAATTTAAAGCGAATATAGGCTATGTATAAGAAATGGTTCCTGGGCTTCCCTGGTGGCGCGGTGGTTGAGAATCTGCCTGCTGATGCAGGGAACATGGGTTCGAGCCCTGGTCTGGGAGGATCCCACATGCTGCGGAGCAACTAGGCCCGTGAGCCACAACTACTGAGCCTGCGCGTCTGGAGCCTGTGCTCCGCAAAAAGAGAGGCCGCGATAGTGAGAGGCCCGCGCACCGCGATGAAGAGTGGCCCCCGCTCGCCGCAACTAGAGAAAGCCCACGCACAGAAACGAAGACCCAACACAACAAAAATAAATTAATTAATTAATAAACTCCTACCCCTAACATAAAAAAAAAAAAGATTCCTGCCCTGATAAGCTTATGATTTAGTGGTTGAGAGAGATAAACATACCAATAAATTTAATTATACCCAGGCAGTACACATTAGGTCATTTTACCTTCCTTCAGGTTCTTTAACAAGACCTGAAAATGTGTTTTCCAAAACGCATCTTGAATCTGTCCTCCACATCAGTGAAGCCTGATTTTGAATTTCAGAAGTAGCCTAATTTTATGCTTCAAAGATTAGAATCTGTTTTCCCTTCATTTATTGTCTGATTATTGTGATCAACTCTTAAATCCAAATTGAAATGCTGGGAGACACTAACATGTTACCCACTTTAAGGTGTATCTTTATGTTCCTCTTACACTAGAGTCATCGGAAATCGGGCCTTCCCTTGTGATTCACACCACTGTCTCATTTGGAGTTACATACTTGGAACACAGCACTGAAGATGTGCAGGAGTTAATCTTCCAGCAGCTGGAAAATATTTTGCCTGGTTTGCCTCAGCCAGTTGCTACCAAATGCCAGAAATGGAGACATTCACAGGTAATCAGAGAATCCAGTGGTATGCGCAGTTTTCTCAATCAGACCTGACTTTACTTTTTCTCATCCTTTGACACTTGCTAGTAAAAGAAATTAACATGATCTTGGGAGCAAATATGTGTTTGCCTAATAAAGAAGTTTACATGCAGGTTTTATTATCCCGTTATTTCTCAATTAAGAGATACATATAATTTTCCCCGATGTTATGTTCAAATTCTAGCATCTCAAGACTTATATACCCTGAAGATCTGGGGTTTCCTATGCAGGCAAGGCAGGTTATATATCAAAATGCAGCTGTTTCTCTGGGGTTTTTCTAAATCAGTACTGTGGTTATATAGAAACCACTATAACCTCCCAAATTTTTGCAATATGTCGAATTAACCTTGTAAGTGTATTTTGCTACCACAATTTTCATTTTTATTAAGTTCCCACTTTGGTTTTGACTGCTGCCAGTAGAGCTGTTTGGGGGAGAAAGATGAATACCTGCAACAGCTAGCTGAGCTGTTTTTTCAGGGTTAGATAAACCTACTGATCACTCTCCTAGTTCAAACTTAAAATCTCTTTACACTAAGTAAATGTTGACTTTTTTGAAAATCTCTGCATACTCCAGCAGAAGTTTGTGAGTATTCATAGAAAAAGTCTTTTGATCTGTAAACTCAGTTGTGAAGTCATCTGGGGACAATGGAGCAAAGGACAGAAGGAGAAAAGAAGCAGTGACTTTTCTATTTTTTCCTAAGATTTCTGAGCACAATGATTACCTGACTTACCAGCACTACTGATTACCAAAGCTGTGAAGCCTTTAGAAAAACTGGTTGTGAGAAATCACAGCGGATTTTGTTTATTTTAAAGGACTTTCCAAAATCAGAGGAAATGGTAAATTACTTCCTAAAATATTGCAGTAGGTCTATGTGTTTACCCATATCTTCTCAAGTTAAATTATACACTGAACCTTCTTGGAAAATATTTACTTAAACACATCACGGTCACTTTAAAAGACTTTACTTTTTCCTTTTAAAACAATTTTTAAAATCTCAATAGCTAATGTCTTTAAGTGATATTTAACTTAATCTTAAGTTGGCCTGAAAAAGAATACAAAGAAATAATCTTGTTGATATGATTTGAAGATAGATATATTACACAGCAAGTCACTTCGCAATTTATATACATTCTTTTAGAAGAAATGATAGTTTCTGAGTTTCTTCTTGTGACTTCCTCAAAATAATTTATTAATAAACTGGAAAGATGGGTTAAAATCTACTTATTTCCTAAAATTTAATGTGTTAGTAGAAATAGATTTAACTTGCCCACAAAATGACTTAGTCAAAGTTGTGCAATATCACAAAATTTAATAAAAACAATCTTTGAACACAAAGTACATCCAAACTCTAACAATGATTTTTATTACAATTTGGATGTTCTCCCTTGAAATTATCCCAGTACATTTAAAGTCATGAAATCTACACTGGCTGCAAAGCCTGAAAGGGAATAAGATGTCATTCAAATTTAGAGGTTTGAATTTTCCACTATTCATAGTACCTTGACCAACATTCTACAGAACATAACGTCATTATAGCAGAGATCTTACCTACATTGTTCAATAGAGAGAGTGAGAGAGAGAGATCTCCCATATCACCTTAGGAGAAAGGCTAATTAGTGACAGGTCCAGAGACTTAATAACATTTAGCTAGTTAGCGTTCAGTTATTATTCCCAAGAGAACGCTTCTCCAATGTTTTTAAAAGGTTCATCTTAAGCCTTGAAATTTAACATAAATGTCAATTCACCCTTTTCCGTTGCCATCCCAGGACACAAGCTCTACCTGAAATGAATTCATGAATGTTTGTGTATAAATATGGTCTAATATAGTGCTTAAACTGAAGAGAAGAATGGTGTAGAAAGAGGGACAAAAAAGAAAGAACAGCCAACTGATTTTGAAGTTTCCCTCATTTCTGATTCCCCTTGCAGGAGAATCCTGCCCTTTATTTCTTCCAGCCTGGGTCTCACCCTTCATTCCTTTTCCTCCTTCCTCTGTCCTGCTTCACCCATACCTTCTCCTGTTCTTCCCCCTCCACCTGCTTCCTTCCCTTCTTTCTCACTGACAAACAAATGATACAGCCCTTCAAACCCTCATTTTATAAAATCCTAGATAGGGTCCCTGCCTCAGGAAGCAGTGGGTGGTATGGATTCCCCATCCCAGGCCTCTCAGGCTGGACTCTCTATCTCCATGCATTTTATTTTTCTCTTCTTTTGTTATTGCCTACCCTGCATCCTGGCACTCATTGACTGTGGAGGGTAGGGAAGAAAAAAAAGAAGAGAGATCACAATGATGAACACCCACATTGCATAGTGCAACAGGCCTGGAGCTGGGCGATTCAAAGATGTGATCTCATTTAACATCAAAAGTAGACTTATGAGGTTGCTAGTTTTAACCCACTACAGCGATGAGAAAAACAAAGCCTCAAAAACATGAAATAAATTCCCTAAGGTCCCACGGCTAGTAATGACAAAACTAGTCTAACCTGCCTCTCAGGTCCTTCCCTCCTCTTCATTGACCCTCTGTTTTGAATGGCTGCTGTAACAAATTACTGCAAGTTTGGAAGCTTAAAACAACACAGATTTATTATCATACAGTTCTGGAGGTCAGAGGCTCAAGATGGGTCTCAGTGAGACCCTCAATGAGGGTCTCAGCTAAAATCAAAGTGTCGGCAGGGCTGTGTTTCTTTCTGTAGGCTCTAAGAGAGAATCCATTTTCTGGCCATTTACATCTTCTAGAAGCTGCCCCCAATCTTTGGCTTGAGACCCTTTCCTCCATCTTTAAAGTCAGCAACAGCAGGTCAAGTCCTTCTCATATTGCGTCACTCTGACCTTTTCTCCTGCCTCAGCCTTCCTTAAAGAACTCCTGAGATTACATGGGACCCACCTGCATAATCTAGGACACTCTCCTCATCTCAGGGTCCAGTGACTGGCAACATTAATTCCAGCTGTATCCTTAACTCTTTCTTGAGATTTAACATTTACAAGTTCTAGGGGTTAGGATGTAGACATCTTGGTGGGGGGAGCCTTATTTCTGCGTAGCACACCCTTCTTTCCCCCAGAATTCTTTGGTAGATTCCTTTATGAGGCAGTATCTCCCACTCCTCTCATAAAACCTCTGGGGAGAGCACCAGCCCTTTAAAGCTTTAAGAGCAGCCACTTTAGGAAGTGGCTGCTCTCTGAAAGAGGTAAGGGAGTACTTTGTCGGGGGGTTGTTTGCTGTTTCCCTGATGATGCTCTTCGTGCCTTCTGCTGCCTCTAATGTCATATATCCACAGTGGCAGCAGGGGGGTGAAACGTGGTTGTTCATTTATTCATTTGCTTAGTCGTTTATTCCGTAAGCATTTAACGAATGCCTAGGACATGTCTAATACTCTGCTCATGGAATCCTAGAGACTAATCTTTGCTGAAAGCCTTCTCCTAAGACACTAAGTCAAATATTTTGTCTTGAGTAGGATAACGCTGCTTTTTTGTGGGTGCTGCTTTTAAGGAAAGAGGCAGATCAAGAAAGAAGGCGTGTTTGAAAGACTTGGGAGCTGCTCTGTGCCTCCCGTTTGGGGTTTGAATAAAACACTTGAGTAGGTGGTTCAAACAAACATAACAAAGCAATGGCATTTTTTTTCATGATTCTCAGTTCCTCCCTTTCGCAGATATTTGCCTTCCATTATTTAAATGTTTATCCAGTTAATATAACTTGATGCCTAGGCTTTGATGCATTGAATTAAGATTTCTGTAACACGTATGATATAGTAATCCATTCAGCAGAAGAGTAATAACTGATAACACCTTTCCATGTACATTGACAGGGGACACTTAATCAGTCTGATAACCCTAATACTCTCACCACTATTATTCGCTATGCCTTCCTTTGTTTCGAGTCTATCATGATGCCTTTCCCAAACTATAATAAATGTGTGATTTGCCTGCGAGTTTAACGCTGATTTTCCCCCATCTTTCTGTAGTTCCTGAAAATTTCAGTGGCTTTTTCTCTCACTTAGCACATTCCTGGATTACTTTATTTTTAAAAAATCACTGAATCTATTTCAAATACCAAGGAGATCAAGAGAGGAGTCTGATGGGGGAGGAGAGTCAGGTGGTAAGCGAATGCCTTGGCATCTGTGGCAAAAAGGAATGGGTTTGGGTTAGACTATTAAGCTTGTGCTGTAAAGTTAGAAATTAGTTATCTTCTATAGTCACGTTCTTTTCACTTGGTCTTTTGCCCTGAGACTGTACTTTCTCTCTCCTCAATGGCGGTCCTTTCATACTCTTTAAGGAGAAGGATGATGAACTCTTTAAGAATCTGATGAAAGCTATGAATATGAAGATGCTCATCCTTTCAAAATATACATGTACACATAAACACAAAATTGCATCTAATTATGAAAATTTACCAATATAAGCAACCTAAAAGTCCTCCCATGAATCCAGCATTAAGGACACCTGCTGTAAATGTTATAGTCCTATAACCCAAACAAATCAAGAACCCCTCATTAGCCCGGTCTTGTGTTGTAGTCTAAGAAACAAAATTCAACAACCAAAAGGAATGTAAAGGAATTCTCATCTTTACTAGTATCTTTTATAGAACTTTAAAGAATGTCCAAAATTCATCATCCTTAGCAGTACTTTTTGAAGTTTCTCTTCTCATTCCTTATATATCCCACTTCTAGAAGCTCCCTCAAATCTTTTTGCACCCTTAACTCTACTTTTCCACAGAGTTTTCCCTGATAATCAGCCATGCAGGCTTATCTCTTTTTTTCTTTCCTCTCTTCAGCCTCCCATTCACATTCCTCACTTTTGACTCTATCTCTTTTTTCCCCCTCTTAGATAAGTACATCCTTAACAATGCAAATTCCCCATTTTGGCTTCCTCAGGTCTTCCCCAGTTGATTACCTTGGTTGACATAGTACTGCCCAGGAGTTAGAAGGAATAAAAGAGAAAAGAGGAAATGTGCAACAGCTTAAGGCCAGAATTT